ACTAAAATTGATGTTCTTGAGCTACTGCTGATCTTCTAAGTACTGTAAGTGGGCATTTGTTGGGCTGAGTAGAGGTGTGGGGCAGAAGAGGGTTAGAGTCAGTCTGATTTATAAGGCTGAAATACAAATTCTGGAAGGGTTTTGAATCTTGGTGCCCAGGGAGTGAGCTGCTGGTCCTCCCTGGTGGTACCTTCCTTTCTTTAGCCAAACACTTAACACAATTATTTAAATCCCTTTGGCATCTCCAAGCCCTCTAATAGTAAATATAAGGAAAAATGGATTCATGCTTAAAAGGCAGAAAAAATACCTGTATATACTTTTGTCTTTCATCATGTGATATTGGATCTAAACTGTCAAGCATTTGTATGTTCTTAAATCTAAGATGAAAGACGAAGTCTTTTCTAAAGCAGAATGTTTTTAGGTGTTTAAACCTTAAGAATAACAGAAGTAAAATGCTGGATACTCAGCTGGCATGAGAAGGCTCAGCTTCAGAGTTTGCAAAGGTGCAGTGCACGTTTATCACCTGAAAAACGTTTGGGCCCCTGCCAAATCCCATGAGAAAAAGGAAGGAGAAAGGAAGGCTGAGCCAGAAGTTGCTCCTGGGCTGGTTGGTTGGGTTCCCTTTTCCTGTCTCTGCAAGGAGCCACAGTAGAAAAGCCTCACAAGGAATGTCCCAGAGTCCCACTTCGCATCGCTTTGGTGGTGAAGACGCAGCAGAGTTGTTGGGCTGTCAAGCCCTGATGATTAAATTGCTTTTTTCCATTCCATCTTCCTGGCGTTCAGCTTATTAACTTGACATTTCATCTCAATTATTTGCTCTTCTTCACGCCCTCCCGGTGTCGCTTGTCATTCACTCTTTATCTGGGCAAGTCAGGCTGGCTGGAGGAATGTGAGCACTGGGGCAGGCGTGTTGCTGCCACTCTTGCAGGTGTAGGTAACCCTTTAGATACCTCCACTTGGGCTGATCTGACCTTTGTTTAACATGCAAGAAGGTCCGTCCTCTTAAGTTTTTGTCAACAGAGCAGAAAACCTTTAGGGGGGGTCTGTTGGGGGGGTTTCCTTTTGACTTCAGCCAGGGTTAAGTGTCTCTGAGGCTTCTCCAAGGGTGGCCATGCTGCTGATGTGCAAGCACGAGATTCTCATTGGGATTTCCTCATGCTCTTCCAAGAAGGATAAAGAGCCCTGTCCCCCCCCATGCCTAGCATGGGTGGGGGTCCCCGGGCATGACTGCAGAACTTTCTTTCTCATCCCCTGCTTCCATCTGGGTCTTCTGCTCAAGAAGACATCAAAAGTACTCAGTCATTGCAAAAACCCAAGTGTCTGGTGGAAGTAATGAAGAAAAATCACAGCTGGGTGGCGATTGTGCTTCCCACCGCGGTCGGGGATGAGGAATTGGCACGAGCAGTGTTTTAAGTAACCAAATGTGTCAGAAGGGCACAAGTAAATGATGAAAAGCAAAAATGAAAAGCTTGAGACTCGGCTAAACTTTATGGTTGCCATGCTTCATCTTAATTTTAGTGCAGGTGTTTGTTTGGAGGTGAGTAATGAGCACTCCTGGAGCCTGGGAATGGCAGAGAACAGCAGAGATGAAGTACCTGTCCCGTAATGCATGGGTCTGCACTTCTTTTTTTAAACTAAAAAATGATTTTTTTCCCTCCTGTTGAAGACAAATATGGCCTGAAGATCCAGGACAGCTTTGCAAAGCCGGTAAGAACACTTACCAGCACATGCATCAAACATTTGCTCATCTTTCCATGCCACGGTAATGAAACTTGTGAGACTTAGCTCGAAACACCACGTAAACCCCCTGCTTTAATCCCAGTTTAAATGCAGTTTGTAAAGTGCTTGTAAAAATCTGTGAGATGTCCTCAGCCACTCCTTGTTTGCAAGAAAGCGTGTTAAAGCCTTTTGTGTGCATTTGAAAACATAATCTCCTGCT